GCAAAAACTAGATTCTTCAGGTACGTCAGTTTTCCTAACTGCTCTGAACATATCTTCATCTGTCCTGTCATCTCCCGCACAAAAGATGAAATCGACGCCAGGAGTGTTTGAAATGAGACGCTTCACTATTTCTCCCTATAAATGATTGAATTCGTAAATTTGAACGCAACGAGGAAGACCCAAGAAGTTATAGTTTCAAGATTTACCAACCTTGTTAACCTGTGTTGGTCTTACTTCCAGATTCTTCTTGCCAAGAAGAATTTCTACCGGAAATTTCGTGAGTATAACGCCTTCTAAATGATTTTGCAATTCTTTGGCTTGGAATGCGCTGTATATATTAGTACGGATTGATAGGTGAGTATCGGAAATTTGGGTTGGAAACGTGCGGACACGGTTACTTCTTATTAACTTCAACATACCCGTAGTCTGGATCTGCATTGCGATAGTGCCATGTAACCGAGCATAGTTTATTCTCAATGGATGATCCTTGAGTTCTTTCTTTGTAATATGTAAATATTTCGTTAACATCAGTCATCCAGCTCATGTCCATGTCTTCGGTGAGATTGATCCATTTATTGGTTTCAGGATGCTTGAGGAAACTGCCATGTTCAGCGCTGATAGAAAAAAATGTTTAGTTTAAATTGCAGGAAAACACGTGACTAGTTACACATGACTTTACCTAAGCCCAAGCCTTGGTACATGTCCCAACCATTCTTCCAATGCTTTCTGATCTCGTCCTGAAATTATCCAGACGTCATTCTTTGGATCCGATGTTAACTTCTCCAATGCTGTTAACATATGGGGCGGCGGTAAGGCAGCGCTTGGTATCCTGACAATGGGTGTCAAGGTGCCCTGAAATCACGCAAAACTTGTGTTAATACTTTGTACAACCATTAATTGACTTTAAAATTCTTCCTTTCCGTGGCTTACGTCGTAGTCAAAGAGCAGTAACCGTTTATTTGACGAGTTGTACTTGTCAGATAGGAGATCAGAATTGAGATATGGCGTGGGACTGGATCGTTCTGTCGAATGAGAAGTTGCAAGAAGTTCTTTAACGAAAGACTGGGCCCAGAACTCGGCCGTGTATGATGAGACAAGATCATACAACAACTGCAATAAATTGTTATATAGATCGTTGTCAGCGTATAATATATTTATCATAATAATTCTTATGTAAAACATGAATGCATCACCATATGTTTGATTCGTTTCTCTTCCCTAGACAGATTCAATGCGTCGTAAATAGCTCGTGCAACCCCCTTATAGTCCCATGGATTAACCATCATGGCTGCACAGAGAGAGCCGGCTGTTCCAGTAAATTCACTCAGAATCAGCGGTCCATGGTTATCCTTTTGACACACGATATATTCCAGCGATGTTGTATTCATTCCATCGCGTACTGACGTGATTAACCCAATATCAGCAACACTCAATAACGAGTAATATTCATCCTGATCAATGTCGTTGTGATAATGATGTACAGGTGTAAACTCGAGAGATCCATATGTGCCGTTGATACGTGCAATTAGCTCGGATACTTTGACTTCCAGCTTTGGAGACTCGCTAAGAGCGGGAGAAGTGACTTGAATGAGAACAACCTGTTTCGCGGTAAACATTGAATATAGTTCTCTATTAGGATAACGTGTACAAAACTGTCATTTTTGTTAAATACCTTATTACGCCATTCCGGGAAATCCTTGAGAAACTGTTCAAACGCATGCAGTTTCTGTAGAACACCTTTGACCAAGTCTAATTTGTCCCTTCCAACGATAATTTTCTTTCCAGCGTACATTTCTTTAATCACTGCCATCTTTGATTGTACCCCAGGAAGTTTCCTAATAAAAATTTTCATAGTCGCAGTTAATTTCTGATCAGTCAAAATTATTGCAACTTATATAACAATGTAAACGTGCTATACCTCCGCGATTCTACTCTCTGAGTATCGATTCCAATTGGGAATGTACCAACCGCGACAACTAATCCTTGGGCACTTACACCACCATTAGAAGTAGACTCGTATCCTAAAATCCGCGTACAGTTGCTGGTAAAATGACGAGCATATGAATACGTCTAATGTAATCAAATTGTGAGTAAGTAAATGCTTTGCTGCATCAATAAGCCAACTCAAAAGTATTACCTGAAATCCAATTAAATTAGCGCCAAGCATGCCATTAAGCACCTCTTTACGCTCTGTTATCACAGATCAAGTTTGG